AGATAAAATATCCAGGGCCTCAATAGGCCAGAGAGACATGTTGTAAAACTGTACAATATGCATAATCTCATAGAGATAAGATAACAGTACAGTAACACAGACACATAAAATGATAGAATTATAAATATAATAATGACTAGTTTGAACTAGTTGAAATGTGCTTAAACATTTGCGACGATAAAACATCATAAAACACCTTTAACCCAATTTTGATGAGGAGGTATTAGATGATAGCATGAATTAAATTCTACAAGCGAAGATGGGAAAACGTAATCAGAAAACTCACTAAATGGAAGCGGGCGGTGAGTGTGGGGGTGGGGGCGTGGGTGAGGGCGGGTGTGATAACACGGTAATGGAGACATTTGTTATGGGGCGTTAGGCAATAAATACTTGGTAAGGCGGGTCATGCTAACGTTTACTTTAATGTATCTACACATGTCAATATCGGCGTGCACGCATATGGTGTGATTGTATCGGTAAACACAATCTGAGGTCGTTTGGAGTGACGGAACAGTGGTAACATCGTATGCTATTAAATTTTATATTGTACGTTATGACTACAACATTACTGAGTGAGTGAGTGTAGTTTTACGCCGCTTTTAGCAATATTCCAGCAACATCTAGGCGGGGACACCAGAAATGGGCTTCACACATACTATCTGTGCATGTGAGGAATCAGCCCAGGCCGTTGTCGTGACGAGGGAACGCTTTAACCATTAATTGATTAAGCTACCACACCGCCCCCACATCGCTGATCTATCAAATTACGAAATGAAGGTGTTTATTATTAGATCCAACTTAAGATGAGGATGGGTTGGTCCTTGTGTGACAGGGTCATTGTGTGCCGCACTCAAGTACTGTTATAACACTATGCTTTTAGTCAGTGAGTGAGTCAGTTTTGTTTAGCCAGTACTTCTATCTGTTTGTTTTTTGTACAGCGAGACGTTTTAGTCGACACAGAAGAGTTAGGGTACTCCGGGATATTCTGCATTTAAGACCATGCTACATTAAACCCAGTGGGTGTAAAATCGGGATTTGGGAATTTTAGGTCCATGGGCCTAAATGAAGATGTTTAATTTTATTGTTGAGAGTCATGTCCCTTGGTGATTGAGTGAGTGAGTGAGTGAGTTGAGTTTTACGCCACTTTTAGCAATATTCCATCAATATCATGGCAGGGGACACCAGAAATGGCTTCACACATTGTACCCAACTGTGTAATAAAGGTTCTGAGAATCTTAGTGAAGCAAATCATTGCAACTAATCGTTCATGAATACTAAATTAGCTAGCGTTGAAAATGGGTTATTCGTTTGAGACTATTCCAGTTGGAAAGATATAAAAAAGTTTCCTGTGACTTGAACAGCAGATAAAATTATGAGTGCTTGAAAACTTAGCGTTCTGGATTATGCCACAGCTGTTCTTTAAAAGAAATAAGCCATAAAATGTTTCTAACAAAGCCTGTCTATGTTTCGATTCAACATGTGCAGTTACCGTATTCAAGCCCAAGGCGTGTTTGTGGTTTTACAATCTGAGTACCATAGGGTTTATTTTTCAATATTAGGCCCGAGGCTTAAATATAGGATTTCTCGGAAGTAAATTCAATACAGCAAATGTACGTTTCCAACCGTATAACAAAATCATGTGCCCGAACACGCTAACGCCCTCACGTGCAACACGTGGAAAACACGATCTTGTTAATTTCAAGGCCGAAACTCGTGAGCCATCGCAACTACGTGGATACAACATACAAACGTCTGTACAAAGATGGGGTCCCTGTTTCCGTCACGTGGGTGGTGATTACTGGTGGGTATCATGTTGTGATGATTTGTGATATTCTCTGAATTCCACACCAGAATCGAGATCGGAGGTCATAAAGTGAGATTTGACATAGTTTGTGCCTACTACGCAACAGGAACAGTTGCTCGTACTATCAACCACTCGGTCCTCGGTGCTCGTGTACTAAATGATCTAGTACGGCCTCCGTGGTGTAGTGGTTAGAGCGTCCGCCCGGAGAGCGGAAGGTCGCGGGTTCGATCCTCGACCGCGTCATACCGAAAAACGTTAATATATGGTACTTGTTGGTCCCTGCCTGGAGATCGGCATTAATGGGTACATCAAGGACTGGTCGGCTCGGAGTCAGTATAATGTGTCAGAGTGGGGTATTCATGCTTCACTGCGGCATGGTATCTCAGTGGGCTAGCCAGCTAAACCAGTTTAAGTCTGGGCTAGTACAAGCAGCCGCACATACACATACACACGCATGCACGTCGTCATATGTGCGAAATATTCTCAAGCACGACGTTAAGCCCAATTTCACCTCACCTCACCTTGTATAAGTCCTGCACCTTAACATCCATGGACGACGGTCATTCGGATAAAGCGTTTTTTATCTTCAGACAAATTGCAGGCGGGCGGTGGGGTAGTCTTGTGGTTAAAACGTTCGCTCGTCACGTCGAAGAATCGGGTTCCATTCCCAACATGGGTACAGTTTGTAAAGCCCATTTCTGGTGTCCCCCGCCGTGATATTGCTGGAATATTGCTAAAAGCGACGTAAACCTAAACTTACTCACTCACTCACTCATAATACAGGCGCTGACTTCAGCACAAATCTGTAAATGATTCATCAGCATCTACCAAACTTAAGCTTCTGCTGCTGTACCAGCACAATCGGCAACCTAAACAATTTTCACGAGAAAGTCGGCCCGGCACCTCTGCTGCAACACGTCACCCCGGCACCTCTGCTGCAACACGTCACCCCGGCACCTCTGCTGCAACACAATAGTAGCCAGTAAACAATCACACAACAACACAGTGATCAGTATCATGAGCTCATAAGAAATGCATCATAAAGCCTGCATATCCACAGATCTATCTGAGTGAGTGAGTAAGTTTAGTTTTACGCCGCTTTTAGCAATATTCCAGCAATATCAACGCGGGGGACACCAGATATGAACTTCAGACATAATACCCATGTGGGGAATCGAACCCGGGTCTTCAGCGTGACGAGCAAATCTATCTGAGTGAGGGAGTATGGTTTTTACGCCGCTTTTAGCAAAATCAAGGCAGGGGACACCAGACATGGACTTCACACATTGTACCCATGTGGGGAATCGAACCCGGGTCTTCGGTGTGACGAGCGAACTCTTTAACCACTAGGCTACCCAACCGCCACCTTTGAGAACAGGTGCAGGTTATTTCTGCTTACCATGCTAGTGCTGTCCAAACACTAACCAGCTAAAGCTGAACTGATGGAACGGGACTTTTATCTTTGGGGAAATGTTGTGGATGTTTATTTGGCTCGGATGTAGTCTCATGTGGCCATGTATATAGAATGATTCAGAGAGGGATGTTACTGACATGTTAACAGACAGGTTGACAAGTGTGTCCAAATCCTGAGGGTAGTTATGATATCGATACGCATACACAGCTGTGCATCAGCTCTATGCTCGCAATCGGAAATCTGTGTTATTGTGCTGTTTATATTAGAAAATCTGTGATCAACACCTATACATTGAACAGGGGATATGTTTGGGATGGAACGTGGGATTTCTGGTGATGCTGCTTGTGTGAGAAACCCATGCTTGTCTTCAGAGCCTCGTGATTGTCCCGTAGTGTCTCGTGTATGACCCCAGTACCTCGTGATTGTCCCCAGAACCCCGTGATTGCCTCGTAGTGTCTCGTGTATGACCCCAGTACCTCGTGATTGTCCCCAGAACCCCGTGATTATCTCGTAGTGTGATTGTATGACCGTAGTACCTCTCCCCGCCTCGTGTATGTCTCTGTAGTGTCTCGTGTATGACCCCAGAACCCCGTGATTGTCTCGTAGTGTCTCGTGTATGACCCCAGTACCTCGTGATTGTCCCCAGAACCCCGTGATTGTCTCGTAGTGTCTCGTGTATGACCCCAGTACCTCGTGATTGTCCCCAGAACCCCGTGATTGTCTCGTAGTGTCTCGTGTATGACCCCAGTACCTTGTGATTGTCCCCAGAACCCCGTGATTGTCTCGTAGTGTCTCATGTATGACCCCAGTACCCCGTGATTGTCCCCAGTACCCCGTGATTGTCTCGTAGTGTCTCATGGATGACCCCAGTACCCTGTGATTGTCCCCAGTACCCCGTAATTGTCCCCAGTCTCTCATATATATGACCAGAACCCAGAATTTGTCCCAGTATTCTGAGATTGTCCCTCAGTATTGTCCCAGTACTCTGAGATTGTCCCCAGTCTCTCATATATATCCCCCATTGTTCCAGTATCCTGAGATTGTCCCAGTACCCTGAGATTGTCCCCTTTCTCTCATATGTTCCCAGTATTCTCAAATTGTTCCAGTATCCTGAGATTGTCCCAGTACCCTGAGATTGTCCCCTTTCTCTCATATGTCCCCAGTACCCTCAGATTGTTCCAGTATCCTGAGATTGTCCCAGTACCCTGAGATTGTCCCCTTTCTCTCATATGTCCCCAGTACCCTCAGATTGTTCCAGTATCCTGAGATTGTCCCAGTACTCTGAGATTGTCCCCAGTCTCTCATATGTCCCCAGTACCCTCAGATTGTTCCAGTATCCTGAGATTGTCCCAGTACTCTGAGATTGTCCCCTTTCTCTCATATGTCCCCAGTACCCTGAGATTGTTCCAGTATCCTGAGATTGTCCCAGTACTCTGAGATTGTCCCCTTTCTCTCATATGTCCCCAGTACCCTCAGATTGTCCCAGTACCCTGACATTGTCCCAGCACCCTGACATTGTCCCAGCACCCTGCGATCGCCAAACACCCCTACCACCGGAGTATCAGGTAGGTAGAATATGTAATTAAATGCCTGAGTTTGAAAGAGGATTAAGAACATCTGATCTGAAGTCGATGAAGCGCCTTCCTAAGATATATGTCTTATTTATCTATGGTCAGGTTATACGTATTATCTTATACAACTTGTGTTTGTCTTTTGTGTCTGTATACATGTGACAACACTTTCACCTTCATGGTGTATTGAGGTCTCCTTCCATTGTTTCAGACAGCCATTACAACCACCAATGACAAGAGACATGTCATGACCACACATAGACTCGTCCCAGGAGAACGACTTTCCGGAACCGGAAATGCATAAGCAATGGTTCACCCTTGTGTCATAGGTCGAGATTGTTGCTGTCGTGAAATAACACCATACCACCAAGGGACCTCCTACAGATTTTCACGAACTGGTCTATATAACCTGTGCATGTTAACCACTGTACACTGACCGCAACCGAAGGACGTTGAACAGATGTTCGCGAACCCGTGCATATGAAACACCGTGCCCAAATTGCAGCCAAGTCTCGGGTGTCATAAGTTCGGGGAGAAAAGGACATCGTGAAAACTGTTGATAAAACCGGAAACAAAGAACCGGAAGGTGTATCATTGTTGAGCATTTCAGCATCAGTTATTAAATGGACAAAACCGGCGTTTGTTCGGCGTTAACTTGTCGTTGGAGAAAGGCAGGCAAATACATGTAAAACTTCAGAGAATTATTCCAAGAGAGAATTGCTCGCTGTCCTTCAAGCAAAGCCTGTGATCGTGAAGAAAACATCCCTCTCCACTATGATGCACATCAAACGCTCAAAACTCCAGTTCAGCATTGGACTGACACTAGGTTTCCTTATCTCAGTAATATTCTTTCAATCTGGAATTGTCTACAAACCAAGAGAGCGAATGCCTCAAACGTTGGTCAGTAGTCACGTGATCGGGAAGTCCGAGATGGACACTGTGGAACAAGAACCCCTTGAGGGACAGATCGACGATTCCCACGTCCACCACGGTAAGCTATAAAGAGATTCTAGACGTATGTTGAAATAGGGTCAAGCAAGCGCAGATTTCTATATTTTATACATATTTTTTATATAATTCAAGTTCGGTTCCTTGGGCAGGTTAGAAACCTATGATTATGGGTTCGAATTTCGGCTCCGATATATTCCAGGCTTGTCAGCCCAAACCTTTGTTTGTGGTTTCACTAAAATGGTAAACGTCAAGAAACAGCAACACTTAAGGCTTTCCCCCTGAATTAAGACGACAGCCGTCATATAGCTGAATTGTTTTGCGAGTGCGGAGTTTATCATCAAACATTAAGCTGACATGTGGTATAACTGAAATGGTATGAAACCCAACAAATTCCCTCTTTAACGCACTATTGGACATAATTTAACGCTAAGAAACAGGTAGTGAATGGGTGAGTATGGTTTTAGGCCGCTTTTAGCAATATTCCAGCTATATCACGGCGGGGGACACCAGAAATGGGCTTCATATAGTGTACCTATGTTGGGCGAACCCGGATCTTCAGCGTGACAAGCGAACGCTTTAACCACTTGGCTACCCCAGGGAACAGGTAGAGGGAACAACATACTGCATGTAATATTTGAATAGGTGAGAATGGTTCAACGCCGCTTTTATCAGTATTCCACCAGTAACAGAAGGTGGATTAACACATTCTACCCATGATGGGAATAAAACTCTGGTTCTCGGAGTGACGACTGAAAGCTTTAACCACTCTGCTAGCCCACCGCCGCTCTTTATCTGAATGACATTCCAAAGTTGATTACACACTGAGTCAAAAAAGAAACTTCACAAAATGTAATTTGAAAAATAATGAATAATTTTTCTCTGATGATACATCTATGTATCCGAAATGGGATCCCTATTTTTCGACTCTAGAAAAACGTTAGCAAAACCCACTCAAACCCATCCATTCGTCGTGCAAATGACGTTAGTGCCAAACCAGGTTTTGCACGTGCAGTCGATCACGTGATCTTCGCATCGAAGTTTTCTTCATATGCACGTGTTTGCATTGGCCTCAAGAATTGAAAAAACACTTTTAAACCACAGTTCTAACGGTACTTGAAATGCCACGATTGTCAAATGTGCAACGTGAACGTGCCGTTGGCATGTTGCAAGCGGTTATCAGTTATTGACGTCGCAAGAGCAATGGGATGCAGCCGTCGTACTGTGTATGACTTGCGAGGTCGTCTACAACAAACTGGCACCACTTCTGATCGCCCAAGGTCGGGTCGTCCACGTGTGACGTCACGAGCAGAAGACCGTCAAATCGTCCTACGTCACCTACGTGACAGATTTCTGCCGGCAACACGAACCAGGGCTGAGATGTTTAGAGGTCGACTGTCCTCACAGACCATTCGAAATCGGTTGCGGGCTGCCAATCTCCATTCTCGACGTCCATATCGTTGGCCAATATTGACGCCGTTTCATCAACGTCAACGTCTGCTGTGGGCCCAGAGAGATGGACCCAGAGAGACTGGAATCGAGTCGACAGGAAGTCGACAGATTCGGGGGTGGAAGTTGCATGGTGTGGGGTGCTTTCTGTGGGAACAACCGTTCCCGACTTCTGGTCATTCGTGGAAACCTCATAGCTGCTGCTTACCGCGACCAGGTGCTCACCCCTGAACTCGTTCTTTTCATGGCGGCTCATGGCCCAGGACTACAGTTCCAGCATGATAATGCTCGGCCGCATACCGCGATGTTGACACGAAATGTCCTTCAAAACGCTGGAATCAACGTCATGGACTGGCCATCGAGGTCAACTGACCTTAATCAATAGACCACGTTTGGGATGCACTTGGGAGAAGGCTTCGTGGTCTTAGGAACCAACCTCAGAATTTGCAGGAACTTGGCGCTGCCTTGCAAGAGCAATGGCGCAGAATCCCCAACCACGTGTTCACAAGCATCAGGCAGTCGATGAGGAGACGGTGTTTGGCAGTGGTGAATGCGCAGGGCGGCCATACACGATATTGAACTGAGAAATTTCGCATTTTTATTCTTGTGACTTGACATTCTGTATACCCATGTTTTGGAACGGCGGGGTAGCCTAATGGAACTGATTATGGCACTATCAGTGTATCGAGTACATCACACAGATCTCAGCAATGAAATAATAACAATTTAACCATCTTACCATCTCTTGTTCTTTTATAGTGCCCTGAAGAAAAAATGTGAAGTTTCTTTTTTGACTCAGTATATTATTTGTCTCTTGCAGACGACACTTCAGTCGCCGATACAATGGCCCAACAGGTCCGCGTGCTCTGCTGGGTTATGACGTCACCGACCAACTTCCGGACTAAAGCGGATGTTGTCAAGGCAACGTGGGGACACCGATGCAATATCCTCCTATTCTTCAGCTCCGTGGTGGACCCCCACCTCCCGACGATCGCGCTCAACGTTTCGGAAGGCCGGAAACACTTGACAGCCAAGTCAGTGCAAGCGTTCAAATATGTGTACGACCACTACTACGACCAAGCCGACTGGTTCATGAAGTGCGACGACGATACGTACGTCATTGTAGAAAATCTACGATATTTTCTGTCCACGAAAAACACGTCTGCACCTTTCTACTATGGCCACCATTTCAAGCCCTTAGTAAAGCAGGGCTACTACAGCGGAGGTGCTGGCTACGTGTTGAGCAAAGAGGCACTGACGAGGTTTGCTAATAGAGCCCCGAATATGTGTCGGGAAGACGGAGGGCCTGAAGACGCCGAGATTGGGAAATGTATGGAAAAATTAGGAATTGGGACCGGTAACTCTACCGACGCTCTTGGTAGATCTCGCTTCCACTGCTTCACGCCAGAGGCACACGTGAACGGAGGGTTCCCCAAGTGGTACTACCACTACGTGAAGGGTGGTGCTAAGCAGGTCAGTAGGAGGTCGTTGACCTGTTGAAGTATGACAGGCTATTACACCATGAGTGTCATTGGTATATCGTGTATCTGGGCTGTATAAAACTTCTCCATCAGGTAGAAGATTAAAGGGAGATAACTCTCTGAACAAACAAATATTTTAGGATCATTATCTGAAGTGTGAACCGTGAGGCCCATTTCTGGTGTCCCCCGCCGTGTTATTGCTGGAATATTGTTAAAAGCGGCGTGAAACCATACTCACTAACTCATTATCTGAAGGTCTACCTTTTTTTACTGAATGCTTAGCACACAACTTAAAACTCACGAAAGTTATTCATGACAGGTTATGAGTGTTATGGGTATATCGTGTATCTAGGCTGTGTAGCACCTCTCCATCAGTTTCAAGGTTAAAGGGCGATAACTCTCGGAACAAACAAACACTTTGGGATCAATATCTGAAGGGTTACATTTTGTACTATTTTCAGGTCCCTGTCATGTGTCAAGGTCGAATTTCTAAATCGATTGATGATTTGTGTTTCAGGGTATCGAAAATATCAGCGATTATGCAGTTTCCTTCCATTACGTCTCGCCCAGGTCCATGTTGAGTCTGGAGTTCTACGTTTACCATCTCCGACCGTATGGGATCAGAACAGAAAACCAGGCTCTAAACTAAGTCCCAGGGTGCCGTTGTACAAAGCGATCTTAGTGCTATGGTGACCGTAACTCCCATATCTTAACATAGACTTAAGGTTGTTTTGTACAACGGCACCAAGGTCTCTGAGTCTCTGGCTGGTGTCATCCTCAAGAAATCTTTGGGAGTTACCTCCCTTGTTGCTATGACAACGCGTTACACGTTGCCTTACAGATGGAGCCACACACTAACTGGGAAAGACGTTAATGTTGTGAATCTGACGCCTGGAGACACTTTGGCAGACTGACACACTGACAATAGATATTTATAAATACTGACTTAAAGTGAGTGGCGTGTGAATGATTCGTCGTATCTGGTGCGGTATTACATTGTATGAAGAGTGCTTGGAGAGAAGTTGGCCATGTCTTCCTGTGTCAAAGGGACACAACTCTCATCTCACGTGACTAAACTTCCCGGTGTCGTCAGCTGGCGCTCGTGTCTCGCTACGTGAAGTATCACTGATAGTATGAATTATGAAGAACTTTGAATGTCTGTTTGATTTTAGGAATGTGTGCCATGGGCGGATCCAGGAATTTTGGGGGTTCAGGGGGTTCGAACTCCATGAATCCCCCATTAGCTCCGCCAACGCAAAAAAATCTGTACTGGACCTCCTGGTGAATCTGACGCCATGAAAACTGCAAGGTCAAGAACATTGAATCTTAAACAGTTTGACACACTGCCCGTTGTTTATATTTATAATTATGCGAGTTCCTTGAAGGTTGACCATGTCGTCCTGTGTCAAAGGGAGGCAACTCTCATCTCATCCCGGTGTTGTCAGCTGGCGCTCGTGTCTCGCTACGTGAAGCATCAATGACAAAGGCTCCAGTGTGAAGAACTTTGAATGTAACCATGCATGTATTTGATATTGAACATAAAGTGAGTGATGAAACATTATCAGCGACATCCTGGTGATACCAGATTGTTTATTGGAGCAATATTGTTTATTGTGTGCTCGTTGAAGTAAACCTTGACAACATAAATAATAATGGTTGCTGAAACCATGGTAACCAGAGGTTCCTGCAGTGCACGATCGTTGTTCTTCCAGGAAGTTGTTTCAAAGACAAATTTTACAGTTACAGATATGTTTGTGGGTTCATAAAGGCATAAATACAATCGCCTGTGTCTTTGTTCATATGATTCTGAGTTTGATTCCTTTTTGCATTTTTCTCTTGGGTCGACTGACTGACTGACTGAGTTTGGTTTTACGCCGCTTTTAGCAATATTCCAGCAACATCACGGCGGGGGACACCAGAAATGGGCTTCACACATTGTACCCATGTGGGGATTCGAACCCGGGTCTTCGGCATGACGAGCCAACGCTTTAACCACTAGGCTACCCCACCGCCCTTCTCTTGGGTCGAGACAGGTACAATCAGTGGAGTCCATATGTGGTATCCCCCAGCTAATATTTTTTTGAATATTGCTAAATACGGCGTAAAATCATATTTCCCAGGCAATACGGACGCCGCCGTGTCAATTCCAGCAAAATCGAACGAATGGTTGTTACGCTTTAAGAGACCGAACCAGCATTAAATGGAGGTGTGTCCGAATGGATCCATTTTGTCGATATCCAGACAGTTGTTCGGGGGAAAGATGCCCTGAAGTGTTATTTTTTTCCAATCTTAGCACTAACTGAACGTGCGAATCACGAGCCACGTCTTTCAGAACGTGTCGCTACCGGGCAAACAGGCTGTTACCTGATACAGCAAAGTTCAACCGAAAATACACTTTGTGAGGCACAGTTGTGAGAATCGATGACAATACGACACTAATCAGTTCCATTATTCAAACAAGTGTTTATATTGTCGATTATAGTTCGTTTGGCGTTTCATTTAGTATTTTATGTTTATTAGTTTTCGAGTTATATTGCAATTCATCGGTCCGCTTTTGAGCCAAACGGACTATAGTATGGCCAATACGACATCGTCGCATAAAAGACTCAAATCTGGACTGACAACCCAAGTAGGTGTAACCAATATAGGGTTTTATTGCATGTAATCTATTGATACCTACTTGAGTGTCCCACTTCGTCTGCATCAGATCAGGGATGTATGTTCTAATGCTAGCTTTTTAATCAGAGTATGAAAAAAGAATTACATAAGTAGATAACGATTGCCTGACAAGAATCCCGTGCGCCAAAGTAGCGGTGAAAATATAGACTCACTTATGATTGATGATGCCACCAGGTGTTAGCGAAATGGACACGCACTTCCTGCCCTACGTGTGGTACCTGTGACTAACGATTTGCACAAATATACTGACGGACGAAAGAAACTTTCTCCTCGTTCAATTAGATCTCACTTAAAAACAACAACATGAAATCGAAGTTTGCAAGTTACAATTTGTGAAGCAATGATAAGGCACGTGCTAAGTACAAACGTTCGATTTTTAGCAAGGCTGATAACTTATTGAACAGGTTATGGTCGACATGGGGTCTAACTAGAGAATTCACGATCAATGGGTCCATTCGGGAAACACAGCAAAATGTGAACAGAAGTCTCTAATAGCGAGTTTGTCCACCTCTGGATAGAATACATGCAAACAAACGTCTTCTGACAGAAGCTGTGAGGCGTCTGATGGCGTCAGCCGGGATTCGCCTCTATTCTTCGACATGGGCTTGAGTCATTTGCTGTACTGTAACTGGTGGATTCTGTCTCCGTTGAATAACTCTATGAAGGTGGTCCCATACGTGCTCGATTGGCGACACGTCAAGCGAGCGTGCAGGCCATGGCAGGATGTTGACGTTGTTGGCGTGAAAGAAGTTCTGGACAACTCGAGCGACCATGTCGGTCTGTCAGCAGCGTTCCTCGATATTGTCGGTAGGTTCTGATACCTTAGGCCCGTAGTCTCCTTGACAGAGAGAGAGAGAGAAGTTTATTCAGTAGTATTTGGGCCATAAGGCCTATGATACAGTTGACATTTACAATTTAAATTACACGTGATCATAAACATTTGAGTTTCATATTGATCTTATTTTGAATATCTCATTGAGATAGATGGCTGTTAGATGCTGTAAATTACTATTTTGTGACATGAAAATTGCCTGAATGGTAAGTGGGCCTCTGTAGACTGATTGTAGCTTCTGTAGATATAGAGTTCTGGCTTGATTATACTTGTCACAAACAAAACAATACATGGTTCTCATCTTCATTAAGGTTATGATTACAAAGTTCACAGATGGGGTTGATTGCCGTTGTATCTTTATTGGTTCTTAGCTTGTTTATCTTAAAGTTTGTTAGCGAAGCTCTAAATTTGAAGTAGACTCTTATTAGTTGTTTGTTCCTGATGTTCGTGATATATGATCCTCTTTCCAGTGAAAACTTGAATGAAGCGTAGTGGGTAAGGAAACTTGAACTGTTTATCTCATAATGCCAGTTTTGGTGTGATATATCTTTGAGGCGCTGTTTTAAACAAGATAAGAAATTATTTACATCTCCGACATCCTGTGTGATCCATACATGTGAGAATCCTATCTTGGACAATGTTTCTCTAATATTAGAGGTCCAGTTTCTTTTTCCTACATCATCGAGTGATTTAAGCATTCGGTAACACTGGTGTGCGTGGCGATCGGTTGTCATTCGTAGAACTATTATCCAGTACTTGATGGCTTTTACTTGTGTTGATATATAAATCAAATGTCTTCCAGTGTCGCCAAGAATTGCCTTGTTTGAAGCAAATTTTCCAACTTTGAGAAGGTGTTTAAAGTACTTTAACTGAACTTTTTCAATTGAAGCTGAATACTTGCATCCCCACACTTCTGCTCGATAGAGGAGTATTGGTAAAACTTTAGTGTCGAATATCAAACATGCAGTTGAAAACGTTACTTCTTTATTTTTCTGTATGAATCTATTTATTGCGAGGCATGCCTTACTAGCTTGCTGTGCGAGAGTGTCAGATGCTTTTGTCCATACCAGTCGTGATGAGAAGATGAGTCCAAGGTATTTGTAATAGGTGACGGTTTCGATAGGCAGTCCTTTATAAGTCCATTTTTCATTCTGTGCCAGTTTTCCACCATTTCTAAAAACTATAATCTTTGATTTATTAAAATTCAGTTGTAGTCCTGATTCTGAGCAGTAGGATTCCAGTGTGTTTAGCTGTCTCTGTAAGCCGATGATAGTAAACGAAAATAATACAACGTCATCCGCAAAAAGTAGGAGCATCAAGTCTTCAATATCTTGGGTGACGAATATTCCACTTGTACACGATCTATACATGGCTGTTACAAGTTCATGTATATATAATATAAATAACACTGGGCTGAGAATGCAGCCTTGTCGAACCCCTGCAGATGTTGAGAATATTTCAGTTGCGTTTCCTTGCACCTTCACACACGCCTTGATCGATGAATACATGTTCTTGAGAAGAGTAATCACTTTTCCATGACATCCTTTTTGAAGCAGTAAAGTTAACATTCTTTTCCTGTCCACAAGATCGAAGGCCTTTCGGAAGTCTATAAAACAACAATAAAATCTACCCTTTGGTTTACAAAGATATTTTGAGCATAGTGACTGAAGCGTGAATAGGTGATCTGCTGTAGAATATCCGGGACGGAATCCAGCTTGACTCTCTGAAATAAGTTCGTTTGTTTCAACCCATCGTCTTAACCTTTTTTCGATAATATCAGTAAATATTTTACCCATAACGTTGAGAAGTGAGATACCCCTATAGTTGTTTGGATCCTTTGGGTCTCCTGATTTGAAGATGGGGATGACCATTCCATTGTTCCATTCTTCTGGGAAAGTAGTCTCCTTGACACTATCCTTCGACTCACTGGGTGACCGAGTGCTGTTGACGCTGATGACGTTACCGTCAGGAAGCGGTTTCTAAGGTCTAACGTCCTCAGGTGGCGGTCTTCCTGCGCAGTTGTCATCCGGGGTCTGCCTGTGTGGGGCCTGTCTGAGGTCTGACCAGTCCGTTGGTAACGCCGACGAAGGCTCCTGACGGTCACGACGGAGCAATTTAAGGTTCTTGCAACGTGACCCGTTGTAGCGCCCATTTGCAGCATTCTGATGGCCCTCTCTCGCTCTGCTGAAGTTAACCTCGGCATTGTAAAGTGGTTTTCTACTGAAGTACGATCTACTCTGTGCTGTGAGGTGGTTTTATACCATGCATGCACGTGCATTTTACCCTTACTTGCAAAACACGTGCATTTTGCTGTTTTCGATGCAAAGTTGTCAAGAGGTGCATTTGAGCGCTGATATTGGTCAGAATCGAACCCTTGTTGTTGCAATAACTATGGGGCAATTTGCATTTGATTATATTTTCTAATGTTAATATTATGAACATTTTTGCAAGAGAAAGTTTCTTTTGCCCATCAGTATAGATAACGGTTGCCTGACAAGAATTGAATTGACAAGAATCCCGTCTGCGAAATACGCATCATGTCGGAAACGCGCATAAAATCTCCCAAATCATCACCATTTAGATTAGAATCCGAGGTCAACAGGTACTCAGGTGGAGGGGTGTAATTCTATCATCTCATGATATTGTTCTTTCATCTTATCTTTGCCTTTAATTTCCTTTACCTGGCCTTTTAACTTGACTCATACATAGTCTCTGGAAACATATAATTGTGACAGAAACTAGTGACTATATGCATAAACAGAAAAGGAATGAAGTTGCATTGGAAATTCAGTTGAGGAAAATGTGAACTTGCTTCAATGAGCCCGAGAGTTTTTGCATTACAGATATAGTTGGGTGGAAGGCAAAATAATGTGGACTTTGAGCCAGAATACCTCTCATATAAACACACACACACACACACACACACACAGAGAGAGAGAGAGAGAGAGAGAGAGACAGACAGACAGACAGACAGACAGACACACAGACACACACACAGAGAGAGAGACAGACAGACAGACAGACACAGACAGACACACACAGAGAGAGACAGAGAGACAGAGACAGAGAGAGAGAGAGAGAGAGAGAGAGAGAGAGAGACAGACACAAACAGATAGACAGACACACACACACAGATGGAGTACATGTGATGGAGTCATGTCCGCACTATCATATTGTGAGAGGTTGTACGGTATTACTTTAATGTGGAAAAGTGTAACCGAAGAACATTTTAACATCCAGCACTATATCACATATTGAATCTAGCTGTA